TTCAAGAAGAAATTCACAAGAAACATCTTTATTCAGAGAGTTGCAGGAGTGTAGAACTCAACTAAATGGAGCAAATGGGATTACGCATGTAAGGGAATGTTAGTTAAGTGCACGAAGCAGAAGAAGAGTAGAAGGCCATGTGGTGTTGGAGTGTGATGAAGAGGAATGGGAAGAGGCACAGATGGAGCACAAACACTGGGATAGGCCCGAATGGCCCATTACTGGGCCGTACACTTTATATAGTACTCTCTCTTTGTATGAGATGTATTTCCATTTTACGTGTCAAAATAAGGTTAAGTTAATCGACTGACAGAGCAAGATAAAGGAGAATTACATCAATAATAATGCCTAGGTTCCATTTAGCGAGGACTCTCAGATGTGTGGTATTCTTGTCTGGAAAAAGTAGCTGCTGCGCATGAATTAACAGCTTCAAGAGCTGAGCAGGCTTGTGGTATGCTGTGAAAGGGTATGTCTTAAAAAATATAAGTCTATGTGGTGGTGTATTACAATTCACTCAGGGAATCTGATTTGCTGCAGCAGCATTAACTTTTTCCATGCATGTTGTAGTCTAGAGGGATGGATGGTGATGGTAGAGGCTTCAACAATCACACAGCTGACAAGGAATTTCTCCCAGTCTTACGGCCTGCTGTTGGTGTGTATTGGAAGTGATTTGAATGTTGATACTCAACCTATTCGACTGCGTAATGAATGCACCTTCCTTCGCATCAAGTGCTGGAGTGGCACTCAAACCTACAGCCTGGGAGGCAGGGACACTTCCACTGCACCACAAGATTTCCTTGCAGTCTGACTCGGCATAACCGTCTATTTCTGGGAACAAAGTGGTTTCCTATCCTGTTAGGACCATGGAAACATCACCATGGAAAACAGCCTTAATAAGAATAAGGTCTAGAACACTGTGGCGTTGATTCTCTGATCACACTCCTCACAGGGAGCTCAATTTACCAAAGCACTGTAAAACCTCCCTTGACTGTCTTTTGGAGAAAAAGGGAATGTTTGTTGAAGTTACCCTGGGAGGTGCCAGCTGTGGCTCTGTGAGTAGCACTCTCCCCTGTGCATCAGGAGTTTGTGGCTTCAATTCTCATTCCTGAGACTTAAGATTATCACTTTAGGTTGCTGCTCTCATTCAGAACTAAGGGACTGTTGATGAGGTATTAAATCAAGGCTTTCTGCTTTCTCAAGGGGAAGTAAAAGATCCCATAGCATGCCGTGAAGAAGAACAGGAAGATTGCTTGGTGTTCTGGTTAACAGTAATCCTCAACCAATATTTTAAAGTTGATGATGTGATTATTTGTCCACATTGCCCATAGTTCCCAGCGATGTGCAGGCTAGATGGACTGTCCATGGGAAATGCAGGTTTACAGGGATACAGTAGAGGGACAGATCTGGGCGGGGTGATCTTTGGAGGGTCAGTGTGGATTTGATGGGCCGATTGGCCTGCTTCCACACTGTAGGGATTCCATGATTATATGATTTACTTTATTGCTATCTGGAGCTTGTGGAGTACAAACTGGCTCCTGAAACACTGACTGTAAAGCATTTTAGCACAAGATCATAGAATTGTTGTGTTAGAGAAAGGGCCATTCAGCCCACTATATCAAAGCTAGCTCTCTGACCATTTTAACTTACTGCCTTTTCCCAATAACACAGATCATAAAATCCCTACAGTACAGGAAGAGGCCATTCAGCCCATCGAGTCTGCACCGACCCTCCAAACAGTATCCCACCCAGACCCCTACCCTAACCCTGCATTTCGCATGGCTAATCCACCTAGCCTGATCAACCCTTGTCCCAATGGGCAATTTAGCATGGCCAATCCACCTAATCTGCATATCTTTGTACTGTAGGTGGAAACTGGAGCACCTGGAGGAAACCCATGCAGACATGTGGAGTATGTGCAAACTCCACACAGACAGTTGCCCATGGCTAGAATTGAACCCAGGTCCCCAGCGTTGTGAGGCAGTAGTGCTAACCACTGAGCCACTATGCTGCCCTAACCCTGAATATTATATCTATTTAAATAATCATCTCATGCCCTCTTGACTGCCTCCACTGAATTTGTCTCCACCATGATTTGAGGCAGTGCATTTCAGACCCAATCTACTTTCTGTGTGATAATATTTTATCTCACTTCATATTTGCTTATTTTGCAAATTACCTTATATTTGTGCCCTCTTGTTCTCCACTCTTTAATGACAGCATCAATTTCTCCTGAAATAGTTTGTGCGAGAAAGGGTCAGAATACCTTGTCCGCACACTGCTGCAACTAGAAGATTCTATTAAACTTAACACTGGTCCTTCTAATCTCAATAAATCAAAACACCAAGCTAATTTATTTAAACTAATTATCTGTATCCAAATCCATATTTAATAGGTCACTTAGTGGACGAGAACTTTTTCATTTCTTCTGACTTATATAAACACATCCTCTGGAGAGTCTGTTCTGTCCTGCCTCAATTAATATCCTGTAGAATTTGAAATATATTCCAATTATTATGGATTTTATTAATTCATTATTACTCATTATGAATTTATTAATTCATTAACAGACTCTACTCTTATCTGTTTCTTTGTGGTTAGAATGGCATTATATGTCAGTGGATGACTTGTGTGATGGGCTGTCATAAGACAGGCTCTGATCATGTGTGTTTAATTACGTGAAGGTGTATCAAATTTGTATACAATTAAAAAGGCCATTTGGCCATTGTGTCTTTGCCAGCCCTTTGGAATTAGTTCCCTTCCATCTTGTCCTTTCTCTCCCAAAGCTCTGTATTTTTTTCCTCTCCATCTATTTATTTAATTTGTTCTTTGAAAGTTGCTATTTAAACCACTTCCACAACCTGACAAGGCAGTGAATTCCAGGTGAGAACATCATTCATCATAAAAAACGTTCTCATTGGTCTCTTTTGTCTTTTTGCAATTTCCTTCAATCTGCATCCTCTGGTTACTGGCCATTCTGCCAATGAAAACCGTTTTTCTTCATTTACTCAATGGAAACTAAAGGTGTTGCCATTTTCAGGAGTTAATTATCTTTCAAACCAGGATTGAGATATTTCTCTCGTTACCAGCTGAAGGTCACCAAAACTGCTCACTGTGTCCACAATTATATTGCTTGCAACTGTAGAGCTAAATGTTAACACTTGGCAATAGGAAAGCTAAGTCAGTGATAAATTAATAGATCACATGATGGTGGTGAGCCTCTGAAAGAGAACAAAAGTCTAGACCTCATGCTAACTGTAATTGTACATAAAAACCGAAAGAACTGCAGATCCTGTAACTGTACATAGTTAGCATAACGGGAAGAAACATTGCCTTGAGAATACCTTAGCTTCCTGCAACTCTCTCTGTAGTATCAAACTGCACCTGACCTTCTCCAAGGCAAATCACAACAGAACAACCATATGTGTTTTCATTTGAGACTCATTCAACATCTCAAAGCATCGATTCATTCATAGTGTGATTGGGCATATATTTCCTCCCCAATACATTAGCACAGGGCAGGGACAGGACAAAAATACATCCTTTTTGTTAGGGCTTTTCATCAACTTAAGTGAACACCCATCCAACTCAATTGTCCTGACCCTGTATTGTGTAGATGGATGTGGAATACAGTCAGGTTTTTGGTTTCCTGTCTTTGTTGCTAATTTCTGTGTCTGTCTATTTTCGGAATCTTTGGACTTAAACTACTATTTCAAAGTGATATAGAATCAGAGCTGAAAAGTCTTTGATAAGATTTTGAATTAATTTGCAACAGAAAAAATACAAAATTTTATATTTGAAAGTGAAGAAAATATAGATGGAGTTAGTCCCACTTGGAATTTCTGTTTTTACTATAAGTATATGATGGAGTTTCTCCATTAACTTGCGCAGCTGTCATTACCAGAAAGCACCTGCTGATTGAGATATGGATTTAAGAAATGTATTTAAAGTGATGTTTGCCGAGTTTGTGGTCACTGTCAAAACAGAAGTAATGTGGCATTCCAATTTAAGGCATAAACCACCTCTTGGCTATAAACGGTCCTTTGGAGTATAGGAAACAAATGTTACTTACTTAAACCGTAGGGTTCTGATACTCAAACTTATTCAGGATTTTACTTGGGGGTTTATGCCATCAGAAATATTCAATTCAATCGATTACTTCTCTTTCACTGCTGGCAGCTTGCATTGGCCTTCACTCATTGCCTCTTCTTTCCTCTACTGAAGAAACTGACTGCTTTTAGAGTTTGGCATTACGCATAATCAACTGCCCTCAGTGCCTCTTCTTCTCAGGTTGACCTGGTTCACAATTACTGGCAGATGATTCGTTGGGTGAGGTGGGAGAACATGGTCTTAATTAACCACCCTTGAGTGTGTAAGTGCTCCAAACATCATTAGACGCATTGGCAGTGGAAAAAAGCATGCTCTTCTCCTAGTCAATGGGTTCCACATTGTTATCTTTAAAGTATTGCACTTTGCTACATAACATTGGCAACTCTCTAAAACAGGACAGTTTTACCCTTTCTAGCATCAACATGGTTCAGGCTGGGAATCAAACCAGGAACCTTCCTTTTGTCCTTGTCCCATCTACCATGTTGCTCAAAAACCTTGCTCATTTCCAACTTTCCCAGTTCTGATGAAAGGTCATCAACCTGAAAATCCAACCCTGTTCTCTCCCCTCAGATGCTGCCTAAATTGGCTGAGTATTTCCAGCATTTTGTGTTTTTATTTCAGTAATTTCCAGCACCTGCGTTATCCTATATGCTGATCAGGGATCTTCCTTGTGCTTTTGGATTGGTTCAATGCCTGGGAGGATTCCTTATTAGTGAACGCACGAACGTATGGGTGATGAAGCAATCAGCCATTATTTCCTGTACATTTCTACACCTTTCATGTAAATACGCCCTTTTCTGAAGCAAATCAGAATTGAGATTCTGGATTGCTGTTTCTGGAGGGAAGTGGATCATTAACCGATAATGGTTTTTATTTGTTCATGCCCATCTAACCTGCTAATGGCTTCCTCCAGTTTTTTTGCCTTGCTCTCGTCTGATTGGAGCTGCTTGCTTCTGGCATCTTCCTCTTCAGCGGACACAGCAGGGATCCCTTGCAGCAGCCATCTCTCTCGCGTGGCTTTGGACTGGTTCAAAGGGAAGAAAAATCCAATGAAAACTTTACGCCATCAAATAGACAACTCAAAAACCAGTATCATCGATCTCCAATTCTCTTCTCTCCATCACTGCCGGCTGTGCCGTCAGCTCTAAACTCTGGAATTCTGTCCTTTAACCTCAACATCACTCTAACCCCTCTCCTCCTTGAAGATGTTCCTATGTCTTTGACCACACTTTTGGTCTCCTGCCCTAATACCTCCTTATAATGTTCAGTGTTAAATTTTGTCTGGTGGCTTTCATGTGAAACATGTGCTATTCCACCACATTAGTAGGGGGTTTGTGCAAATGCATGTTGTTGTACTTCTGAAAAATTTCAATCATTTGGGGACTTGACTTTTTTGATCTGAGCTTGGTTTCAGCTGTTTGAATGGAACATGGAATTTATCTGAATGGTTCTGTGGATTCCTACGGTGCTCAGCCTCTGAGAATTAACAGGCAAGATTTTGCATATCTGGAAGTTTTCTGTGCAGAACTGGGTAAAATAAAAACACCAGTTTCAAAGCCACCCTGCAGGACAGACGCTTCAGCAGGCCACACATCTGCAAACATTTTTAAGTCAATCTCATGTGTCTCATTTTAGTTTGTTTTATAGTGAATAATATAAAAGTGCCCTGCCACATGTCATTGATAGCACAAACATTACCTTCCACTCAGCTGTCATTGCAGAAAATTACATGAATATTGCTGGAAATAATTGTTGAAATTGTTGCCTTTCAATCATCAGGACAATTTACAAGAAATGTACAGAGGAACCCAACATTTGTATTGCACGAGAGGAGAGTGTTGATTGGTTGGTAAGTGGACTCTGATTGGTAGAGGCATTGCCATGGAGAATGCACCCATTAACGCCGATTGACAATTAACTGTCAGGCTTTGTATTGACAATTAGATTGTTCAATATCTCCTGCTCGGGTCAAAATGCTTTCAGCAACAACCAAACAACAACTCTCATTCATACAGTGCCTTTACTGTATTAGAATGTCCTAAAAGATAAAAATAGAGGACAGGTTTTGTGTTCAGGGTCAGGATCCTAACACCTGGGTCAACAGAGAATCCTGACCCCACACTATGCCAGGCGCAGACACATGGCTTCCATTTTGCATACATTAGAGGTTGGAGGGCACCCTCACCATCAAATTAAGGAAGGCAGGGGGACTTTCAGGGTTGGAAGGCCAATAGGAAGCCCTTGAGTAGTGAGGAGACTGTATCCTGTAGTTTGAGGTAGGAGGAAGTGTGTGTGCGCGCATATGAGATTGTGTGCGTGTGTGTGAGTGAGAGACAGAGAGAGAGGGAGGGAAGTGATTCTTTCATGAGGTACCCTTACAAGGCTTACATTTCTGATGTGGAAAATGAGCACAGCTTTGAGGCCACAATTATAGAGGTAAAATCCCGCTGCAGCTATGTCCAGGTGTGTGATTGCGGGCAGGCGCTGCAGGGGAGAAATTCCTCCTCATCTCAGTTCTAAAGGATCGTCCCTTCACTCTGATTCGGTGCCCTTGGGTTCTAGTCTCTTCTACTATTGGAAACATTTTCTCTATGACTAGTCTATCCAGGCCTCTCGGTATTCTATAAATTTGAATCAGATCCTCCTCATCCTTCTAAACTCCATAAAGTATAGTGCCAGAACCCTCAACCTCTCCTCGTATGACAAGCCCTTCATCCTTGGGATCATTCTTGGGAACCTTCTCTGGACCCTGTCCAAAACCAGCACACCCTACCTTAAATAAGGGGCCCAAAATTACTCACAATATTCCAAATGCTGTCTGACCACAGCCTTATACGGCCTCAGCTCTGATATCCTAGCCCGCTTGGAATGAATGCTAACATTGCATTTGTCTTTCAAACTGCCAACTGAACCTACGTGCTAATCATAAGAGAATACTGAACTAGGACTCTTTGTACTTCAGATTTCCAAAGCCTTTCCCCATTTAGAAAATAGTCTACATCTCTACTCTTCCTACCAAAGTGCATAAACTCACACTTTCCCACATTGCATTGCACCTGCCACTTCTTTGCCCCACTCTCCTAGCCTGCCCAAGTCCTTCAGTGGCCTCCCCAGTTCCTTAACACTTCCTGTAACATTTTGAAAATTGAAACAATGATTAAGGATTATAAATTTATTTCGGCTTCTGTGCCTGTCTAATCACTGACTCCAGTCGATGTCAGTGTCAAGGTTCTTGAACAGCAGCTGCCTACACATGTCAATGAACACCTTTTAGAAACTTGCACCTTGCAAAAGGGTGATCCGGTATATGAACATACAGTGCTTCGGAGCGAATGGTTGCAGATGTGGATTGGAATGGAAGATGAACCCCCACCCTCGTGATTTGCCTTACACAGCAGTGGTAAGTATTGGAGATTGAACGGAGGGAAACACTTTGTTAGCAGCTGGTGTGTGTTTAAAAAAACACTCCTCCATCTGAATTTAGCAGCTTTCACTAAGAATTTCTAAGTTAGTATTTGACATCACTGACATTGGCAGCAACGGCTTTCAGTGGCTCCTGTGATATGTTCTGACTTGATCAGGCCCTTTACTAGACCAACACCAAGCCCTCTTTTTATCGCAGAATGGTTCCTTTTGACAGTTGATGCGCCATTGATTAAAAATCATTGCCACAACCTGTAATCAGTTGGCGTGCAAATGCCTTCCAGTTAGCAGATTTATTACAATGTTTGTTGGACTGGAATTAAATCCATATTTTGCAGTAGGACTCAATTTTTGTAACATATTTGTTTGGCAGTCATGTTCTCCTCCTGTGGCCTGTGAAGTATTATTGTAGAGGATGACATAACTTCTTTAAAAAAGTGCCATGTGGAACCAGTTAAGGATTAAGAATGCAAGAAGCTGGAGGAGAGGAGGAGGTCACATAGTCCTCAGGTTTTCAGTGCTGTTCAGTGAGATCATGGCTGATTTGGCAAATCCATGATGTACCGGACTGGATCATTTTTACTGATTTCAAAATCGAAACAAGAATATAACATTTCTCTCTGGGTTTCTGCAGTCATCGCAGACTGGCTCACCTTCTCCTTTGGTGGTAAAGATAATGCTCAAGTGAAATGGAGCAATTTTATCCCAGTTCCTTGTTTTTAGTGGGAGTCAACAGCTGACGACCGCTCATGACGCATTTGAAACGTGCTTTAGAATTTGCCAGACCCATTGGCCAAAAACAATAACTTGCATTTTATATAGCGCCTTAACATGGCAAAATGTCTCAAAATACCTTAGAGGAGAGCTATCAAATAAATTTTTGGACAGGTGTCAAAAATCTCGGTCAAAGGTCAGTTTAAGGGATGACTTGAAAGAGTAGACATGGTTTGAGGGGCAAAGTGGTTCAGGGAAGGAATTTTTAGAGCTCATGGCTAGGCAGCTGAAGGCACAGCCTGATATGGTGGAGTGATCGGTGATGCATAAAATGGCCAGGATTAGGGGAGCACAGGTTCCTCCGTTAAGCTGCAAAAGGTGCCTGCACGGTGATACAGAAAGGCTTTACGGAACTGAGCAGCCACTAGCGGTGAGGTATATCATCAAGGCTTAGTGGGAAAGACCCAATTTCTATGCTGACTAGACTGGGAAGTGATATTAACATGGGATTAAAAAGAAGTTTCTTTTTTTGGAAGACTGTCAGTTATGACACTAAAACAGATAAATCTCACCCCCCCCCCACCCAATGAAAATATTCAACATTGGAAGAAACCAACAACTCACATAAACATTTGTAGTGTCAACTGGATGGAGGACTTTGCCAGTGTTTAATGATACAAAGCAATTAGACACATGTGCAATGAGCGAACATGACTGCATTGAGGATGTGATAAACTTATGCTGTGCTTTGCTATCAATCTTCCTACCTTATGGTGCTGCAGCTGAAGTATTTTATCTTCGAGCTGGTGCCTCTTGTCTTCTATTTCTGCCTGTCTCCGCCTTTTCTCCTTTCGAGAGAGAGAGAGAAAGAGAGAAAGCATGTATTAGAGACAAAAAAAACTGCAGTTGCTGGAATTCAAGGTGGACAAACAGGAGGCTGGAAGAACACAGCAAGCCAGGCAGCATCTGGAGGAATGGAGAAGCCAACGTTTCGGGTACTACCCTTCTTTAGGACTGGATGTAGGGGTAGGGGGTGGAAGGTAGAGGAATGGTGGTGATCGGTGGACACCGGTAGTAGGTACGACCTGGTTGGTTGATGGGAGGGATGAATCCGGTTGGTAGCTGGAAGGGAGGGTCAGGAGGTGGAGTAGAAGGGAGATGATGGGGCTGGAAATGGAGCCAGGGGTTGGGTGGCAAGGGTATTTGAAATTAGAGAACTCAATGTTGAGTCCTCCAGGCTGTAGGGTGCCCAGGTGGAAGATAAGGTGTTGTTCCTCAACTTTGCGTTCCAAGTCACTGCGACACTGGAGAATGATTAAACTGGTAGGTGATTACCAATATAATTCTTTTCTTTACATTTCTGTGTGAACCAACAGACATCTTATCTTAAAACTTATATTTTCTTTCTGATGCACATCAACAAAAAATATAATACGCAGAATTCAGCTGTGGTCAACACTGTGTTCAGTACTTGTAAGTTTTACCAGTACTGATACTGACAATGTGGGTATTTCTAAAAGCATGCATAGGAGATTGCAGTGCAATGGTATTGTTCCTATTGAGAGGGTTGGCTTATGAGGAGAGATTGAGTAGACTTGGACAATACTATTTGGAATTTAGAAGAATGAGGGGTAATCTTATAGAAATATATAAAATTATGAAGGGAATAGATAAGATAGAAACTGGGAGGTTGTTTCCACTGGCGGGTGAAATTACAACAACGGGGCATAGCCTCAAAGTAAGGGGAAACAGACTTAGGACTGAATTGAGGAATTCAGAGGTTGGCAGTCTCCATTGTCTCTTTTCTCCCCGATTTAAAAAAAAAGTGCAATGTGTACAAATTCCTTTAGTTTACGTTAAACAGAGTCCTGTGCATTAATACATTTGGCTTCTAGCGCACATAAATGCTTGACACTGCAAGGCCAACTGATAATTTCTGAAGAAGGGTCTAGGCCCGAAACGTCAACCTTCCTGCTCCTCTGATGCTGCTTGGCCTGCTGTGTTCATCCAGCTCTGCACCTTGTTATCTCTGATAATTTCAAACTGGTTTCCACTGTAATTCTCTGGATCATCTACTGTAGGATTGCACGTATATTTGTTCAGAATGATTGGCACAACACCCATGGTGTATTGTCAGTATAACATGTTGTTTGATATGGTCCACCAGTTACTGACTCTAATGGCTGACTACCTGACATCACACTGCGAATGAAACTCATATCACATTACTCATTAGTTTGGGAGGCTAAATATCCTTTTGGATTGATCACAACATCCTGTTAGTGTAGGTTTACAAAGTAACTTGCTTCTTTCATAACTTTAAATGCTGCCATGAATGTACCATTCTGTTAAAACGGAGGTAAACGGTTTAAGACCTGAAATTTTGAAATTGAATGTTAGCTCATTTCATCTTTATTATGTTTGACAATACTTTGTATCCTCTCACTAGCAAGCAAGGAAACCAAAAAAAAGGGACTTATGATGTATAGTGCAGAATTTTATCATTAGTTCCGTAACAAATGAGCCCTTTTTTAACATTCCACGCAAGACCAGTCTGTGCGGAACTCACGTCCAAACCTGTGACCTTGTAAGGACCAGGGCAACAGATATATGGGAGCACTACCTGTACCTGCAAGGTCCCTTCCAAACCACACAGCAATGTGACTTGAGACCACATCACTGTTCCTTCACTGTCACTAGAACAAAATCCTGCAACTCATTTTTCATCAGCGCTGTAGCATACCTCAACCCAGTGAACTGCAGCAGTTCAAGAATGTAACTCAACACCAACTTCTCAAAGGTAACTGGGGATGGGAAATAAATAGTGACTGATCCAGTTAACCTCACATCCCGTGAATGAATGGAAAAAGCAAAAGGCTTCTTTTCGGATTGTGAAAATGTGATTTGCAAGTCTCTTTAAAGTGCTAGGAATTATTTTTAGCGAGTGAGTAATTCATCCGACTTCACAACTAAAAGGTCACATTAAAACACCTGATAAATCACTGTCAGAAAACAGAACAAAAACTAGTAAAATGTACATAACAAAATAAACCACCCGACCTCCCCCATCCTTGCCAACTTTTATATTATAAAGAAGAAACAACGACAAAACAATGTCCAGATTTTCATTCCCTTTGCCAAGGCCTCACAGAGTACAGAGATTTGGAGATAGCAGGTAATCAATCATTTGAAGATAGTAAATAATGTTACATTTAAAGCTTAATATTAACAAAATATGATGGAGCAATTTTAATCCTAACCACCTGGTGAGAACTTGGTGGGTGGCCAAATGAAGTTTCTCCCACCCATGGGAAAGTTACCTGAAACGTGTCGACTCAGATTTCTGAGCTGCCCTCAAAGCTAGTGAGGTCCTTCTGCAAAAATGGAGATTGGGTCCAAAAACACCATCAGGTTCTGTCTACAGCTAAACTTGGTCTTGAAAATCAAAGAGCATTGGTGCCTTGCTGGGAAGTCTAAGCAGCCTCAAACATTGTGGGGTCAGGAGGATGAGGGAATGCTTTCCGAGGCCTGTCAAAGAACAATGCAGCTTTCCGGGCCCTGGCTATCTTCCCTTTCCATCTGTGACAGCCTTCCAGAAATTTCCTCCACCGACCCTCGGCGACTCTCCAGAGGTCACCTCTTATTTCCCATTCTTTCTCTGAACATGACCGGTGGGGATGAGGTCCCTGAGTTATCGTGTCATCTGTAGCTGTTGAACTTTTTTATCCTAAGAATTTGTTCTCAAGAATCTGTACCTAGGTACCTACGTACCTAAGATGGTGCCGTAGGTGGTTACTTGTAAACTTTTCACTGTACTCATGTGAATATATGTGATAATAAAGCTAATTCAATTGAACTTCTAACTCTAACCTTGTGCTGCCTATAAATGTCAACTCATCCTGAACTCTGCTGCACATTTCCTAGCTTGCACCAAATCCTGTTCAACTATTACCCCTGTGCCCCTGACCTTCATTGGGTCATGGTTTGGCAATGCCTCTGTTTTAAATTATTCATCCTTTTTTTCCAAAACCCTCCATGGTCTTGGCTCTCTCCATCTCCCTCCACCTTCTCCAAAACCACAACACTCTGGGATATCTATGTTCTCCAAGTCTGGCTACTTGGCCAGCCCTGACTTTCACTAATTCTCCATTTGTAGCTTTGCAATTGGCTGCCAAGACCCTAAACACTGGAATTCTTTCATCAAACCTCCTCCTAGCTTTAAGTAGCTCCTTAAAAGCACTTCCTTTGACTGAACCATTTGGTCACCTGTTCTAATACTTTGCAGTGTGGTTCAGTGTCAGGTTTTATCTGAGAATCTCCTAAGATGCAGCTTGGGTTTTAGTATATGAAGGGTGCAATCCAAATGCAAGTTGCCCACCAGCTAACAGCAACCTATCCCACAATTAAAATATTTTCCTCCGTTATTCATTAACGGGATGAGGGCATAGCTGGTTAGGCAGCATTTATTGCCCATGCCTAATTGTCCAGAGTGCAGTTAAGAGTCAACCACATTGCGGTGGGTTTGGAGTCACATGTAGGCCAGACCAGGTAAGGATGGTAGTTTCCTTCCCTAAAGGACATTAGTGAGCCAGCTAGGTTTCTCCCAACAATCGGCAATGGGTTTATGGTCATCATTAGACTCTTGATTCCAGATATTTATTGAATTCAATTTCCACCATCTGCCGTGGCAGGATTTTGAACCCGGGTCCCCAGAACATTATCTAGGTCTCTGGATTAACAGCCCAGTAATAATACCACTAGGCCATCACCTCCCCATGCTCTTAAGTGGTTATTTTTGCGGTGAAGCCAGCCATGAACCTTGGTACAGCTGTCTTATCATGCATATTCCAGACCAGAAATAGCTGTTCCTTTAAGAATGTCACATGACATCACAACTACACGTGACGTTCCAGTATAAAGGCACCCACCTTACCTGTAATCACCCTGTAAAGCCATAAGACCATGAGGAATAGGAAGAGGAGTAGGCTGTTCAGCACCTCAAGCCTGCTCTGCCATTCAATAAGGCCTTGGCTGATCCAACGTTCCTCACATCTGCCTTCCTGCCATTTCCCACTATCTCCGATTCCCCTACTGGTGAAGAATCTGTCTCATCCTATGATGTAAACAGGACTCTGCCCCCACAGCTCTCTTTGGCAAACCCTTTAAAAGAGCCTTTAAGTGCCTTTAAGAGAGCCTTTAAAAGCCTTTAAGAGAGGAAACGCCTCCTCATCTCAGTCTTAAGTTGATGCCATTTTATTCTGAGACTTACCTTTTGGTTTGAGACTCTCCCATGATGGGAAACATTCTTTCAGCATTTACCCCAATATGATTCAAAGAGATCACCTCTCATTCTTCTAAATTCCGGTGAGTGTAGTCTCAACCTGTTCAACCTTTGCTCATAAGACAATCCCTCCATACCAAGGATCATCCAGCGAACTTTCTCTGATCCATCTCCAATGAAATGATTTCTTTTCTTGAATAAGGGAACCAAAACTGCTCACAGACTCTAGATCTGGTCTCATTAATAACTTGAACAGTTGGACTAAGACTTCTTTACTCTTTTACTCCAAGTCCCTTGAAATAAGGGCCAATGTTCCATTAGCCTTTCTCGGACTAATGCTGTCAGTATGGTGTCTTCAGTCAGTCAGCTATGCAATCTACAGCAACATCATTAACCACAATATCTAGACTGTGTGTACGTCTGTGATACTACTGCCTTGTAAGTAGTGTTGCAAATAAACTTTGAGATATCTGTCTCAACAAGAACTCAATTCTCAGAGTATATATTATGTAGACTAAAATATAGAAAACCAACATTCTGGCAACATTATAAGTAGACCTAAAAGCT